GCCTCTCAGGACTGCTCTTTAGCACACTGTAATGCTTCATACAACTGAGAGGTTATATATCATTGAAAAAGAATAGAGATACTGTAGGTTAACCAGGCCAGTTACCTGCCAATGTGAGGGGGGACTTCACAGCATTTTCCAGCTTGATTTTCAGTGTTTGATGTGCTGAGCTTTCCCTGTATCTTTGGAGAGGTGCTTCCATATCCCAGTATCTGTTAAGAGTTCTTTTTGGAGGTGATGCTTATCCTTTTGTCTGACAAAAGTCACCGTTTCTTCATAGCCAGATCTCCAGCCTTGAATACAGACTTTCCTGATTCATTGGTGATTTCTGTTCCCCAGTATTCCCCTTGCCTGCTTCCTGGCTTGTGGACACACGTGGCACCACAGGGAAAGGTTGGGGGGCAGGGCTGAAAAAAAAAAATTCACATCCTTTTAGTGTACAGTACTATCTGCCCTTAATTTTAGAATTGGCAGCTGTTGCTGTGCAGGGACTCTTGGCTAATTAAAGTTCAGATAGTTAGATGATGCTGTCTCAACGTATATCCCTGATGCTGTGCTGTTTATTCATGTCAGGTATTCATAAGACAGTTGACATTTTCTTCCTTAAAGATCTCTCAGGTAAATTACAGGCATTTTACTGCTCTGACCTTTTCCTTTACATGAAGAACTTCTGTTTTCACCATTTTTTTGGTGAATATTATGTTGCAACGGATGTAATTGGAGAGGTATAGTTGTTCTAGTCTGTACAGTTGGGCTATTACCTGTAATGATCCTCTAATACGGGTATTTATAAGTGATTATGTCTTACCAAACTACTTTAAATTTGGATTGGAAGAAAAAAACGGTCTGTTTCACTAAATGGTTTTGGTGAATCACCTTTTCCCTTCCCTTGCTTTCCTAACACATTCATTTTGTGCCTGAGTCTTAGGGAGCTGGCTTGCTCTATTAATATATTTCTGGAGTTCTCCTGTTATGAATAGCCTTTTATGGCTTTAATGTAGTTTTTGAAAATTCCTCTATTATTGATCTAGATATTATCCCAGCAGGAGTCAAAACCACAAGACAATTGTATGAGGATAATTTCTTACTACAGTAGCATTTTATTCTGAAAGCCTGCTGTGTGGTGTGTGCTTTGATGGATGACCCACTGTTTAAAATGTGTATTAGACATTGGCTTGCTAATTAAATGCCTTAAGGAGCGCCGGTACCCATTCAGTCTCAGTAAATTTGTGAAATTTCTGTTATTTTATTTCTTGCTTACGTTCTTATGTTTACTTCTTTCTGTTTTCTGACTTTGTAGAGAAGAATGGGAGTAATGGCAAAAAAGTCAAATTACTTTCTACCTTGACTCAAGAGTTTCAGCTCAGGGCAGAGGCGAGACAATGAGGGCTCTTGGTTTCAGGACTAGGTCTGCCAGATGGGAAGATGAGGAGGAGAAGAGGTGGGTTTTGCATTTCAGAAGGGAGTGAGAAGAGCACTCACCTGGAATTTGAGAGATCTGAATTTGGATCCCTCTTTCCTCCTGAAGGACCATCTCACGTGTCTCAGAAGAGGACCATAATTACAAAGCTATGAGGCACTCTCAGGCTTCTCTGTTGAAGTGCCCATGCTTGAAGCCTTTTACTGGGAGGGAGAATGTGAGACCATTCACAGCTGAAGAAAGGGGATAAAGTTATTCTCCTAATCTCTGAGCTGTTAAATTGAAAGAGCAGCCACAGAGAGAGGCAAGGACTTCTGCGTATCTCCAGGAAACATTTCCTGAGTATAATCCCCATTCCCCTTGGGGTTTTTTGGGAAGGTTTGTTTGGGGTTTTTTTTGTGGAGCAGGTATGAATCAGAAACAGCGTGTTTGCTGCTAAGGTCAAACGGAATTTCTTCTACTCAGAAAGATTTGGGCTTTTTGTTCTAGACAGAGGGATATGTAGAGAATCATAGAACGCTTTGGGTTGGAAGAGACCTTTAAAGATCATCTAGTCCAACCCCCCTGCCATGATCAGGCTGCTCAAAGCCCCATCCAACCTGGCCTTGAACACTTCCAGGGATGGGGCATCCACAACTTCTCTGGGCAACCTCTTCCAGTGTCTCACCACCCTCACAGTAAAGAATTTCTTCCTTGTATCCAGTCTAAATCTACCCTCTTTTAGTTTAAACCCATTACCCCTTGTCCTATCACTACATGCTCTTGTGAACAGTCCCTGTCCAGCTTTCTCGTAGACCCTATTCAGGTACTGGAAGGCTGCTATAAGGTCTCCCTGGAGCCTTCTCTTCTCCAGGCTGAACAACCCCAACTCAGCCTATCTTCATAGGAGAGGTGCTCCAGCCCTCGGATCATGTTCATGGCCTACTTCTGGACTCACTCCAGCTGGTCCGTGTCCTTATGTTGGGGACTCCAGAGCTGGATGCAGTACTCCAGGTAGGGTCTCATGAGAGGGGAGTAGAGTAGGAGAAACTCCTCCCTTGACCTGCTGGTCACACTTCTTTTGATGCAGCCCAAGATATGGTTGGCTTTCTGGACTGCAAGTGCACATTGCTGGCTCGTAGCCAATTTTTCATCCACTAGAATCCCCAAGTCCTTCTACGCAGGGCTGCTCTCAAACAATTCATCCCCCAGTCCATACTGATACTGGGTATTGCCCTGACCCATGTGCAGGACCTTGCACTTGGTCTTGTTGAACTTCATGAGGGTCACATTGGCCCACTTCTCAATCCTGTCTAGATCCCTCTGGATGGCATATCTTCCTTCGAGTATATCAGCTGTGCCACTCAGCTTGATGTCGTCTGCAGACTTGCTGAGGATGCAGTCAATCCCACTGTCTATGTCATTAATAAAGATATTGACCAGTACTGGTCCCAATATGACATCACTTGTTAGTGATTGAGCCATTGTCTGCAACTCTTTGATGAGTTGATCGGTTGATGAGTAACTCCCTCATCCATCAGATAGTCCATCCATCAAATCCACATCTCTATAGTTTAGAGACAAGGATGTTGTGTGGGGCCATGTCAAAGGCCTTACAGAAGTCAAGTTACATGACATCTGTTGCTCTTCCCTTATCCACCAATGCAGTCACTCCATCGTAGGTGGCCACCAGATTAGTCAGATAGGGTTTGCCCTTTATGAAGCCATACTGACTGTGTCTAATCACCTTCCTGTCATCCATATGCCTTGACATATCTTCCAGGAAGATCTGTTCCATGATCTTACTGGGCACAGAGGTGAGGCTGACTGACTGGTAGTTCCAGGGTCCTCCTTTTTACCCTTTTAAAGAATGGATGTGAAGTTCCCCTTTTTCCAGTCACTGGGGGCTTTGCCTGACTGCCATGACTTCTCAAGTATGATGGAGAGCAGCTTAGCAACTACATCAGCCAGTTCCATCAGGATCTTGGCAGGCATCTCATGAAGTCCCATGGGCTTGTGTATGTTCAGGTTCCTTAGATTGTCTCAAACCTGATCTTCTTCTACAATGGTAGGACTTCATTCCTCCAGTCCCTGCCTTGAGATTCAGGGACTCAAGAGATGTGGGACAAGCAATTGCCAGTGAAAACTGAGGCAAAAAAGTTGTTTGGTATCTCAGCCTTCTCCATGTCAGTTGTCACCAGGTTCCCTGTTTCATTTATCAGGTGGGGTTGAAAACTGATTCATTTAAACCAAAGCAAACTAATAGTTTTCTATTAAACACAGTAATTAATACTATTATTTAAAGATTTGAGTTGGAGACCAAATTTGAAAAAAAAAGATTATTCTATAGTATTGACCTTCTTGAGAACAAACCTGCAGGTTTGAGAACAAACAAGCAGGGAGCTCTGCTTGGACAAGGGGTGGGCGGGGTGTGTGGTGTGTGAACAAGATGACTTCCAGTCAATGGTTCCTTCCAATCTCAACCATTCTGTGAAACCTCTAAACCCCAAATAGCTGTGTTTGCAAAGGAAGTCATTCTGTTTTCACTACTGTCATCAACTGTCTGGAAGCACAACTTTTTTTCTTTCACGGTAACTGCTCCTTGCTTGTTTGAAAAAGATGGAGGCAGAATCTAGCTCTTTGTGTTCCTAAAGCAAGGCCTGGCATCAGATGCATTAGGAGGAGCAAGGTCCCTGATTTTCTTCTGAAAGTGCTTGAAGAACACTGTCAAGGCCAAATCATGATGTTATTTTCATCTGCATCCCTGCACATGTAATTATCTGTGTTGATCCACCCAGAGAGCTCTCGTTGATGCCTGCAAGTAGAAGAAAGTGCCCTGTGTTCAAAATAGAGACTTTGATGGTTCAGAGAAGCAATCTGTGGTCTGAATCAGAGAAAATTATTTTATTCTCATTAATGAACCTTACTTTAGTGTGTAGGATGAGATGAATTAAAACTAATAAAAGCAGGCAGGAAATTAGGGAACACATCTCTCCTCAGTTGCCCTTGGGACAATTTAGGCCAAACATGGCATTTGGAGATTCCTAGTTGGCTTGTGGGGCTGGTCATGCGCACCCAAGCTCTCAGGAACGGGTCTTAGGTCGTGGTGGAACTCTGTTATGTCTGCAAAACTCCTTGGCTCACCACCACCATCCCCTTAAGGGCAATGCTAACTCCTGCCCTTTCCTCCTCCTCCTGCATAGAAGGAAATGGCTGATATCTGTTCATCAGGCCTGTGCTGTGCTTTTCTGTAATTTGTCTGACCTGTGCTTCCATGGAAGCAACTACTTTGGGACCATAAAGCAGCCCCAAGGCACTTGAATATCCCAAACACTCCATTGATAATTGCATTTGGTGCTTAACTTCTTCAAGTAAAGGCAACTGGTTTCTCAATTCAGGATGGGTTGAGAAACAGCCATGTCCACTCCACCAAATGATGATTTATAAAGGATTTGTTATTTTTTAAGTTCAGTGCTGCAGTTCTCAGAACTAGAAACTGGAGATGGGGGGGGGGGGAAGAAAAGAGAGAAAGGCACATTTTGGGAGGGAGAGGGATGCATTATAATCCCTCTGAAATTATTTTCTTGCTGATAATTGTTAGATCTGGATGGACTAAGCCAACTGAGTTACCAAGACAACCTGTCATATCGTGAAGATGACCATGCATCCATTGATTCAAGAATAACAACCGAGAGTAGGGGCACTGGACAGCGTACAGGGACAAGGATGGTGTCCAGCATTGCCGATGGCATTAGCCAGCAAGTGATGGAAGGACGTTTGGAAATGGAGACAGCATTTACCAACCAGGGATTTGAAGTAAATGATGCTACTGACAGCTCATTGGCCTGGAGCCCTGAGGTATGGTAAACTGTCATTTATTACACATAGTGTAAGCTTTTGAAGGATATTGGGGGCCAAGAAATGTTAGGGGAGAAATGAAGTGAAAAATTGATCAGCACAGCACAAGATAATGGTACTTGTGTGCATGAGCATACACTCCTTTCTATGTGTTTCCCCTTTTTCTTGTATTTTATCTCTTGCTACTAACACTCATTCAGAGAAGCTGTTTTATTGCTTGATTTCTGACTGCAGTCTTTGAACTGAAATTGGAGCCATTCAAATGCTGCCTGACAGCTTTTACTATCATTTAGCAGAGAGCACTCTGTGGTGGCCCAGGGCTGTGTTACTGGCTGTATGTGCAGGGTGTGTGTCTGGGGATATGGCGTGTGGGCACCGGGTCAGATTTTTCCAGGTGCTTTCCATGGCTTAGACAATGGGAAGCATCTGGAAAGCTGGAGGCAACTGGTGGGGGTGGCCTGTGATTTGGCCAAGTGACCATCACTTTGGTCCCCGTTGATACCAGGCATCCTTCCAGGGAAGAAGAGAGCCTGAGAGCTCCTCTGCTTTCCCTTAGCTCTGTACCTTTATTTTGAAGCCTCAAGAAAACATTACAGATTTTGAGCCATTGTAAACACCTGATGACTTAGCATCCCCCTTTTCTCTCTTAATCTTTCTGCATGATGTGTTGGTTTTCATTATTATTTTACCACAAGATTAAATTTCTGAAAAAATATCAGCCTGCATCAGATGTATTAAAAGAACAGCACAAAGGTCACATCTTCTGCCTGAGTTAAGACTGTTCTTCAGCTGTGGAAATTAATACCTCCATCACAGTCTGAGCAACAAGGCTTTGAGGGAAAGGTTTCTTTCCTCAGAGCATGCTGCCTGCAGCCAGTTAAAGAGATGGAAAGCAGCTCCTTGGTGCAATGCTCCAGTCCTAAGGGGTGTTTTGAACAGCATTTTCATTTGCTGCACAAACCAGTCCCACAAAATACTACACAACACATGGGAACTCCGTGCAGCAGCAGCCCTGCCCTCTCTGCTGATACGTGCTGTCCATCTGCCCATCTGAAGCTCATTTCTCCTTTGCCACATTTGATGTACATTGCCATGGTTCACTTGTGCTGCAATGTCTCCAGCATCCTTTTATATTTCTTTGGAATACATCTCTCGTTTTTCTCCTGGTATCTACATTTTAAAAATGTGAAGAATGGTTATAGCATTAGGGGGCAGATATGCCCAAGTCCCAGTTTATCTACTACAAGCAGCTTCTCATCCAAAGGCATTATGTGGATTAATGAAAGACTGTATTGCAGGAACTAAATGTTCTGACATGTCAGAAACGTCCAGGTGCTGTTATGCTCCACTCAAAGGACCTCCATTTAGAGACAAAAATGGTAATTTTTATGCCCTTGCAGTGGGCATAAACCACAAGTACCATTTCAAGCCTTGTCCATAATTAGCTGCTCTCTCAGGTTGCTGTGGCAGAAACAGACTTATTTTACCTAGTGAAGTGCATATTGGCTGCCCTGAACGTCCCAGTTAGACATACAGTATCAGTCAGTATACTTGTCTTGACATCTCAACAACAGTGCTAGGAAGGGGGAAAGAAAGAAATTCGGACGAAGTACCTAAAGCTCACACTTTCCTTGGATTCCTGTTTAAGTGTCTGTTTAACCAATGCATTCACAAAGTGCTCACAGCCCCAGCTGAGCTCCAAAAGCCAAGGGGAATTCTGTCAGACTTCCCCAGAAAGACAACTGGGCATCCATAAGCTTCATGGCTGACACCCTGTACAGGTGATAGCACAGTGCTCTCTGAAATGGCCAGCCCGACACGTCTCTAAAGCCTGGTTGCCCATGGAAAGGTCACTGCCATCCAGTTTGGTGTTTCTCTTTCCATATCTGCCTCCAGTTCATGAC